TAATATATATTCACTTTTACTTTAAACATACAATAAATGCGCTTATATATATATATAAGTGAATGTCTTAAATTTCTTCCGCTACCTTACACACCCGACAGTCCTACAGCGCACTCGTACAGAGAACCCTCGCTCAACCCACCATGCGCGGACCCACCGCCAAAAGCTGAAGCGCCATAGAAATCTCTCCCAACCACAACCCCAGCTCCGCATTCCCCCAATGACTAACCTCGCCGGCGATCGGCGACACTATCCCCCACCTCCTCCCTCTCCGCTAGCCACTGACCGCCACTACATGGGCCCCTCATCCTCCTCAACCGCCGCCTCCCTCAAAGGTTGCTGCTGCTCCCTCTTCCTCCTCCTCATCTTCCTCACCCTTCTTGCCATCGCCATCGCCCTCATCATCATATTTGCCGTCCGCCCCAAGAAGCCCGAGTTCGATCTCCAGCGAGTCGGCGTAGAGTACCTTCTGGTCGCCCCCACCGAAGGGATTTCCCCACCTCCGGCGTATCCGGCAGCCTACCTTTCGCTGAACACTACGCTGCTGTTCACCGCAGTGAATCCGAACAAGGTAGGGATAAAGTACGGCGCGGCGGATTTGTACGTTTTGTACCGCGGCGTGCCGCTTGGGATCGCGGTGGTGCCGGGTTTTGAGCAGCCGGAGCACAGTACGCGGCTGGTTGAATCGAGAGTGAGCGTGAGCCGATTCAATGTGCTTCAAGCTGATGCGGTGGATCTAGTACGCGACGCCTCTGTTAATGATCGAGTTGAGCTGCGGGTCACCGGCGATGTTGGAGCCAAGATCAGGCTGCTAGGGTTTACTACACCTAGGGTTCAGGTGGGTGTCGCGGGGTCATCTCTATCATGCGCGCGCAGCGGTTTGCTATCCTACGCCTTTTTTTTATATTTATGGAAAAATTTTATATTTATGGCATTTTTAAGAAAAAAAATATATATTTTTATTTTCGGAAGATTGACACTGATAAAGAAATGTTTAAATCTTCTTGTTTAAAGTACACTTAGGATTCTTTATATTCATAATCATGCCAATTCCTCCTGCACACTTTCACGATGTGAATTTTTTTTATTTTAATATTTAAAATTAGAGGCAATTGCATTCATACTTTCCTGATTTCTATTTATTTACATATCTAATAGTTAGCTAAAGTTTATTTTTTATATTGATAAAACTCTGATCTTTCATATTTGATATGTCATCAATAAATTTTCATCATCCAATATGAATTTCGAGGCATGATTCGAATCTCGAGATAATTTTTTAAACAAGAAATACAAACTTCGATAGAGAGTCTTCCAGAACTCTGATTTTAGTAAAATTACAGTCTGAGTCCAATCAAACCCAATCTGAGTCCAATCAAACCCAGATCAAACAATTAAATCATTTTCATGTTTTTTTTCATGCATATTTGACAAGTCAAACGAATTTCAAATTTAACAAGTCTATAGTCAAATTGAGTGTCTTTAATAATACGAATACAACGAGCTCAATATCGCTCAGTTTTGATATCTTTAAGGTACTCAAATGTTAATCAAACGTCGTTCAATCAATGAGATCTCTTCAGGGCGTCTGATCATAGTGTTCCAGATTCTTTATTTATTAGCAACATGAATTTTATAAATTGAGTCGTACCTTCCTCTTGAAGATAAAACTAGATCTTGAGCAAAATGAAGATTAAAGCTTAATGAAGAGGGTGTTGAAGCCCAGAATCCTGCACCGATGATCTGACGAACACCCCCTATTCATGTAGTCCCAACCACCATCAACTATTGCTCACCGTTCGTTGCTATCTACCATCAGTCACCGCCTGCCCCTTGCAACGATGCACAATATGAAGTAACTATTGGTGCCGCAGAATCACGAAATAACCTATGAAGTAATGCATCATCCCGAACGTCGCGCCGACCCTGAAGATGGTGCACTTAAGCTCCAGCTTTCACTTTCTTTTATAAAACCTCTCAATCGTAGAGCAACGAGTCCTTCCACACAACGTCATAATAACTTGTGAAACTATGTAACGTTTCTTGCTTATGGGACAAGAGATTGTACCCGTAACTTATAGTGTAATATTCCATCCGTGCAAGACCACATGGTTTTTCCTCTTTAATAGGTTTTGACATCAAAATTTTTTATTTCTCAATTGGCTTTTTTCTTTCATCTAAGTGTATGTTGGATCCTATTAGAATGCTAAGACAATAATTCAGTACTCTACAACTGCAGACCTTCAAACACACATCAGTTTAGCACTGTCTATATGAAGCGAAGTCGCGCTTGACACTATCTTTGAGTCTGAGATGTCGAGCTTATACTTCTTGTTCAAGTGATATACATCATTCAACTCGCAAAGTAACATTCTTTGTACCGCTTGAAAAAACATTCTTCAATGTGGGGGGAAACCTTTAAAGCAGTCTCAAAAGGTCATTCACGCGGGTGCGACTATGGTGAGGTAGTCATCTCACATTTCATTCAAATATCAAGTCTTTGAGAACCGCTTCTAGGCCAGGGGCAACATCCAAATAACGTTTCTTAAGCACCCCTACCATACCAGACTTCTTCCTTAACTAGATCAGGGAGATATCTTCAAGGCTAGATATAAGAGTTGATTTATAAGCTCATGTGGAAAACACCCTGACTAGAGGACAATAAAGTCAAAAGTAGTCACTAGCAAGTTGTCAAACATCATTCTTTAGTATGACTACAACTATATTTCTAAGAAAAGCCAAGATTTATTATGACCTACGTCTCAATCTTGAGAGACACAAAACATTTTCTGACACCTCATTCTGGATTTAATCTGTCTTATGTGGACTCAATTGGACCTCTTTCATCACAAACAATCGTCTTCAAATAGAAGCTTTGACTAACAATATCAGATAAGTTAAAAATTCTTGGTGGGTTCTTGTAGACCTCTTCCATCAAAAGCTACTGTATTAAGCAAAAGCTTCGACAAATAGCCTCTGATAGGTCAAAAATTTTTATGGATTCTCATCGACTTCTTCCATTACAGGCTACAGTCGTCAAGCGGACGCCCCTCC